AATGAAATATAATGGTTAAGGGACTCTAAAACAGGTAAACTGAACTCCGGGGTTCCACTGTGCAGACATATTGTGAACGCCTATGTTCAAGTGTATGTATGAGTTTTAGTGAGCTTAGTTTCATGGCGCCTTTAGTCGTATTCCAGCAATATCACATCGGGGGACACCAGGTATGTACCCATGTGGGTAATCGAACCCGGGTCTTCAGTATGACGAGCGAACGCTTTAACCATTAGGCTACCCCACAGCCTCGTCCTGTTATCATGCAAGCGGGGAATATGTGGTAAAATCTAGATTGATGTACACCAATATACCGTCAACACTGTAACAACTGTAAACATTGTGGGTTATTATTATTATCATTTTTTGATAGGATATTTATATAGCGCACATATCCACGCACTAGTGCATGCTATTGCGCAATGAAGGTCTACAGGTATACTATGTTGTCCGGAACGGATCAAGATTTGTATTTTTCCGTAACATTGGTAAATTCTCTTGACTTTGGGACATTGTGATCTTCAAGACACTCCAACTGAAACTGGTTCACATGTGAGTATTGATAATTCTTTTCCATTATATGTTTGATTTTATCTTGTTGTATTGATTGTTTTGCGTTTGTATTGATTTCGTTTCAGAAAAGAATATACTTTTGCTTGTGTGAAAGGAAATAGGTGAGAGTGTGTTCATTGTTTCATTTTATTATAAGTATATTGTACTGAATGGGGAGTGAGTTTATCCTAGGATCATTTCAGTTGAGAGTGTATCGTTCTAGGATAACCTCACTCTAGAGTTATTCTGTCCTAGGACATACCCGTGAAGGTCCGAGTTAGAATGTGCCTCCAGTAACCCATGATTGTCGTAAGAGGCGACTAACGGGATCGGGTGGTCAGGCTGGCTGGCTTGGTTGACACATGTCATCGGTTCCCAATAACGCAGATCGATGCTCATGCTGTTGATCACTGTATTATACAGACCGCCGCCATATAGCTGGAATATTGCTGAGTGTGGCGTAAAACTAAACTCGCTCACTCACTCACTCACTGTCCTAGGACAAGATCATTCAATATTGGAATTTAGTGGGGAGGGGGTGATTTAACCCCCACCACATCGGTTGACAACCAGATCACGTTTCATACAACAAAGTGAGTGAGTGATCTGTTTGACAGCATCCAGTGCTGGTGACATGATAGTGACACATCGTTGGTGTAATTAATAACATAGAAAACAGGGGCTGGTGACACATGTGCAAGTCAATGAATTGTAAATAACGCATATGAATATTACTGGCATATACAGGACAAAGTGTAACAGCCAGGTTTTGGATGGTGAACGCAATGCTGTGAGGGTTTACTGAAGTCGCTCTACCATCTTCAAACAAATGTAGAATCACCCGTTTTTCCCTTGCTCTCTCCCTCGTCATCCCGACACACACCATCCATCATACTCTGGAGTAATTGTGTTGGAGGAGACGAAAGTGATTCCTCGTCAGACGGCTTTGTGTTTACGAGTAGGTTAATTTGTGTTTCAATTATTTCATTGTGTTCAGTAAGTGGCAAGTTTCTCATTCCGGAAATACGGACAAGTCGCTAAAGGTTTTCCCCCTCATGTTCTCACATGAGGAATTGTAAACGGATCCTAGTCTCGCGTCTAGCATTTTGTCTCTGAAATATGAATACATAAGGATATTTGTATTAAGTTGTTATTCAATTTTAGATATAGCCGACCGGAAACTTCAAACTCGTTTAATTCTCACAAACTAAACAATCTAAAAAACAACATGTACTGATGACGATCTACTAGGTAATTTGACACGAGGTCTCCTCGGTTATCTCCTACACCACATGGCCATGGTGTATAAACAAATTAATAAAAGAAATGACTAAATTCGAATATTTACTAACCGAGTGTTTATGTGTTTTACGACGTGACGAGAGTCAGAATCGATGCGTGCTTCGTAGAAGTGCTTTGATACAATTACAAATTTTATTATATGCTTTAATCTATCAATCTAGCACCACGTTTCTGATTAACTGATTACTGACACGATCGAAGACCCCCAAATTACACAGACCGCTGCACCTGCGTATGAATACATAGCACTCGCTGTCATTTGTATACGAACATGTCGTCAGAATCGGACATCGACGCTTTTCACTTAACACTCGTGTCATGTAGGCGTTGAAGCTAGAGAAATTGTTAAAATTTCCGGTCATAAAAATAATCAAAGTTTCCAGTCTTACAGCCCTGATTCATCTTTAGCACAGAGATTACATTGCTCTGCCATTCTCCAGACCGGCAGTGGAAACACAAATCCTAACCTTTCACCTTTGGTCCGTACTGCGACGTCAGTAGAAACCCCTCCACTTCTACATTTAAAGTGTCCCAGATTAAAACCGACATGTCTGGTCTATTCCAAATTGGAAACAGCGGTGTTGTGATCAATAAGTACTTCCAAGAGCAGAAGTTAGTAAGTTCACTGAAGCGGTTTGACAGTCATCCGACGTCTGGAATCACAGGCGAGTCAATCATTAATATGTCGTAGTGATGTGTTTTTCGATTGCATTTAAATGGTACAAATTGATTTAGGTCTTGTATTTTCATTTTTATTAAAAACAGAAAACGTTGCTTCAGTACAACGTTTTGTTTTATTCATTATCTAACCTGTTCATAATTGATCGATTTCACACCGAATTCTGGAAAAATGTCCCTTCACGCCTTTGTGCTCTTGCGCGGGTGGGGCGGTGGGGTAGCCTTGTGGTTAAAGCGTTCGCTCGTCACGCCGAGAACCCCGGTTCGATTCCTAACATGAGTACAATGTGTGAAGCCCATATCTGCTGTCCCCAGGCCTGTTAGCGCTGGAATATTGCTTAAAGCGGCGCAAAACTAAATTCACTCACTCCCTCCGATTTCAAACGCGTAACTATCGTGCCAGCATTATGATAAAACTATTCTGTGTTCATTTATGTGGTCATATAGGTTGTGATTTAAGACCTGTGAATGTTTATGTTTCGTTTCCCCGTCTTAAACCACAACTTAAGGACCAAACTACAGAATAGCTGTATCTCCTAACAATTACGCACAGGTAGTTAGTGGAGCGTCTTCCATAACCCTGTCCAGATGCTAATTACCGGCTGATTCACACGACGTAGAAATTACACAACATGACGTCATATCTGTACCAAGGTGGCGCTTCTTCCCGTGTTAAGTGTGGAGCTCTATAACTGGCATATGTTGCCAAAATTGCCAGTGCGAAAGATTATATAAGTTATCCCAGTTTCCGACATCCATGCTATACCTTACTCTACACTGTACACTTCTTAAACCAGGTAACCGTGTCTGCAACGAAGTTATGTGAAGTTATGTGAAGTCGCCATGTACAAGTTAATTCATGGATGTAGCCACGTCATGACAAGTTACATTAATTCGACATTAGCACGGTAGATCTTAACATCAGGAAACTGAGTGAAAAGATATGAAGTATACACGTTAATTCATGTCTACAGAAATGTGATACAAAGTCAAGTGAAATCGACATATTCAATATGGAAGCGAGTGAATTTTGGTTGATGTGTTGTTGTTTAACGCCACACTCAGTAATATCCCAGAGCTATAGTGGCAGTTTGTAAATAATCGAGACTGGACAAAACAATCCAGTGATCAACAGCAAGAGCCTTAATCTACGCAATTTGGAAACGACATGCGTCAACCAAGTCAGCGAGCCTGACCACCCGATCCCGTTAGTCGCCTCTTACGACAAGCATGGGTTGCTGAAGATCAATTCTAACCCGGATCTTCAAAGGTCAGCGAGAGAAGAAATGTGAAGTTAAATTACGACAACAATGAAGCATGTGAAGGAATGTGAAGTCGACATATGAACGGTAAATCACCTTTCATAAATTCTGACCTCAATGAACAGGAAGTGAAGTCTTGCATGTACTGTCATCAGTACGTTGTAGTGATTCAGTTTGAACGGCAAAAACGTTATCATTTTCCATCCTTGTAGAGACTGGCCAACATAAAAATACAGGTTGATGGTATGCAGGAACTGATTGACATTAAATATGTAACAGCTACATTTAAGGCCGGATTTGACCCTCGGCAGCATGTAGGGCGGTTGGTTGACTAACGCCTTCAATATGCTGCGGGTCATTTCTTTTCAATTTCCATCATCTAGTTAGTTGTATTCGTTAACTGCCGAACAAAGCCATCGAATACAGTCCATCAGACTTCTATTTTATTCTATATCAGCAGTAGTAGGTTGCTTCAGCACGGTAATTTAGAATTGTACTTGGCTTCTTTTGAATTATTTATTTACCGTTTTCTATATATATTTTCACAACTTCGTTTCTGGAACTAAATTGTCATTTTAAAATCCCAGACAACAGTGTTGTGGGCCCAAATAGACTCTCGTGGTTGACCAGACCAAAATAGCCACCTGGCTGTATGTGAACTGTGACTAAAGCGCCAGGACGTTTTTTAAGTAAGTCACCCCACTTGCACTTAAATCAAAGATACGTTGAACTCCCAGAAATACCGGAAGAACTGACTCACACTTAAATACGCATTTAATGGCAATACAGAAGTGTGCATACATGCGGGCGGGTTGTGGCCTGTTCCAAATCTAAAATAGATTAGCTGCTGCAAACATTGTGAAGGACCCAGCCCGCAGATGGAAAACTGACACTTCTACAAGGAGTACACATTTAAACGACATACTCATGGCCCCGATGTTAAGATTTATTAGACTTTACTTTTAAGTTTGTTGGACGCAAAATGGCCCGTGCGTCTAATAGCCACCACCGGCCAACGAATGCCATCCCTAATAGCTAGCCGGTTTATCCGCAATCAGTCCTAGAATCGGTCAAAAGATGCTAACACGGAAAATGAGAGTAATAAATGAGCGCTCCTTGGAAAATCAATAACACAGACGAGTTGCTGTGCTTGTCCATACATCTGGTGGCGCGTGGTAGATGGAGGGTTGCGGTCGTCGTCAGAAGTCGTGTCCCGCCCTCTGACGCTGTGACATCGTCACCATCCTCCACCCAACGACTACCACCCCACGCGAGAGCACCAGCACCACAGCGGCGTTCGACGTTACCAGATGGCAACAACGTGAGCGGTGGGCCCTGTCAGTCTGCCGCCCAGCTGTTCGTGAAGAGACTGTATCGGCGTGCCAGTACTGTAGGGTTCAACACCTAATGGAACAACTATAGCAACAGTTCTTCTCTCACTGTACAAGCACCACGTGCATTCTGTGATTGGCTGCTGCAGCCAACAGTCTACATCTGTGCTACCTCGACACTTCATAATCACTTTCTGCACAGTTTCTACCAGTAATATTATACACAGGACGGACACACGTATACAGGGGGCTTCTCCGTCCAGCTGTCAATCAACAACGCAGGGGGTTGATCGCCAGTCATTCATTGGCTGTTTCAGGAGGAGTAACAAGGAATTTGGGTAGTTGAGATCTTCTTCTCACGTCCCACCAAGAACTAGCAGGAAGGTCTACCATTCTCTGTAGGAGTACCTGTGTCTTTCCCTCGTGGTACGGATTAATACGAGTCGGCACAATGAAAGTTCCAGCACTCTTCACCTTGGTTGTCGTCCTAGGTAAGTTTGGAATCCCGCCTTCACAACTTTGGAACTTGTTGCTTGCATTGCCTTGGGGAATCTGTGAAGCTGATGAAGTTATTGGCAAAGTTACATAGCTCTACCGGCATCAGCAATACAATGTCCAGACGTAATCCACATTCATAATTGGACCTATAAGCAGTTATTGATAGAACAGGACTTCGCGTTTCGAAAAGCGTTGACATATATCGAAACTGTTACTTTGACCTAGTACGTGGTTTTGTATTGTGAAATAGCATAATGCAGTTTGTTACATCCTTGACTCGTAATTGTTAGCTTCCACTGATTCATAGCTGTAACAAAGACCTCCTCGTAAGTGTTCATTAATTGTTCATGTAAAGAATATGTCCCGGGTATAGTTTCACTAATACTGTACTTATGTGTATGTGTTGAGGAGTTAGCTCTCACAATCAAATCTCAACAGTAGAAAAATCGGATATTCATTGCTAACGCCTAACTTCTGTTTCTGGTTTGATGTGGGTTAACCAATGAAATGAAATCCTTGTGTTGAATTCAGGGGCAGGGCGGTGTATAATGCTTGGAACAGGCCGGAGTGTAATGTCGTGGTCTCAGATTCCACAGATTGTCGGGAGGCGGGGGTTATGTAGGTTATATATATATCTAGTGGAGGCATAACCCACGGGAGGGGGAGGATGGCTTGGGGTGGAGTTGGCAGGAAGTGGAGGATTGAGGGCCAGTGGAGGGAAGAGGCGGGAGGTGAAAGGGGTCTACTCCGTGTTAAAAAGAACAATATTTCAGATATCAGTCTCATTCAGTGTAAGCGGATAGCATCAGTGGTGCAGGATACACCTTGCGACATCACTGATAGTAATTCATAAACACATAATAAGTTGGATTCGTACGTTCGATGTAAATAGCTTTCAGTCTCATGATCATAGAATGGTTTATATCTAATCTATACATTTGGCTCGAGGACAAGCTTTGGAAGACTGACATGGTCTAGGACTAGTTTTAGGACACAGTGTCTATAAATATGTTAAATATATTGTGGTATTTCATTACCCAACATGAGCTCATGATCAATGAGTGAAATCTGTAAATATGCCGCCAATATCGCTACATACACCTACAAGAAACTTCAGTTACACCTCTGATAATCAAGGCTCCTTCAGGAAATATTTTATTTTATAGTGAGCTGGGTTGGCATGGCAGCCTACTTTGGAAAGAAACCCGGAAGTGATGTAGGTCTTACATGTTCACCACTTCAGTGAAAACCACGATCTGAGTATTTTGGTGACATACCCAGAAAAATAATCTGGGCAACCGGGTTCGAACTCGCAACTGTAAATTTCTTGTGTGCCAGAAGTAGGCGAATTTCGGCGCTTTAGACGACTGGTCACCTGTGTCCCCTCATGTTTTAATGAAGACACATAAACCATCGCCATGAAGATCTGGGGTATAATTGGTGTTCAGCTCGCCATGAAGATCTGGGGTATAACTGGTGTTCAGCTCGCCATGAAGATCTGGGGTATAACTGGTGTTCAGCTCGCCATGAAGATCTGGGGTATAATTGGTGTTCAGCTCGCCATGAAGATCTGGGGTATAATTGGTGTTCAGCTCGCCATGAAGATCTGGGGTATAACTGGTGTTCAGGTCGCCATGCTTGTAGTTGTAGGCAACATCGAGAATTTGATGGACTTGGTTGATGCACGTTATCGGATCCCAATACGTAGATCGATACTCTTGATGTCAATCACTATATTATCTGGCCCAGGGTGTTTTAGTTACAGACTCAGAGCCGTCGTGTAACGGAAGTATTGCGGAGTGTAAATTGAAACAGCAAACATGCAAACAAATACATGATGTTGTAAGACTAATTGTCAGCACATGCTCTAGGAAAGAAACATAGATGTTTGATAAGCATTTAGAAGTTGGTAGGGTAATACAAGACACTTGATATGGATGCGCAACTTATTTATTATTTACACACGACGTTTCTGGGCTAATGCTTGCCCCTTCATCAGGTGAATGACAGTCAATAGTTACAGAGGTATATATATAGTATGTACAAACACAGTGTTGATATAGTGTATCAAATGTGTGTGTCAGTGAAATATGCCTATCCCCGAACTGTTATGAAAATATCGGCGTCTCCTACAACGGTGTACTATATCGAAATGGGACCAATTTTGTCATGCTGTTAGCAAATATAAAAACCCGTCCAGAAGAGAAGCACATTAATGTAAATAATACTCTGTCACACAGTACGGTAACTGTCTTATGTTTCCTATCGCCCAACCCTTACTGTTATGCACACTCCCTAAATAGAACAGGTCTATATATTGCCCAGGTTCTGAATCGCCCATCCCACTAGGGCTCCTTTTCAATGTTAGATGTGGATGCTTGTTTCTAAAAAAGCTTTGGTATTTTTAGCGTTAATGTCAATATGTGCAACGGCTGCATTGTGTAGTCTAATTACATTAAAAGGTGTTCTTGTGGGGAATCCGTGTCGGACTGAAACATGTGTGGGGTGGTCTGGATCGTCGTACCCCGATGGCGTTGGTCGTCGTTCATGATATCTGTCTCTGGTCTGATCCCTAAACAGAACATGTATCATAAAAGGACATGAAACATTTGATAGAAGTCGTATTCTGCTGTTATCGATGATCTTTATGTTCGCCCAGAGGGACCTTCCCCATTCACAGGGTCGTGTGTACAATCGATTAAGACCAGAGTACGTGACACTTCAATTAACAATAACGGGAGTGGGTTTAGGGATCTGTTACCTAGTTTGGAAAAGACTTACACATATATAACACGTTGGTAGTTGTGTCACCCTTTCGGCTGAAGACCACACGGAACATTTGATTTAATTGGCAGTGATGATGTATTGTTAGCAAATGAAGTAGTCTCAAGTGCAATCTGTTAGATCTCGTGTATTGATGGCCCCGGAGGAGCACTGTTTATAAGCTGTATACGTAACGCGAAGAACAAGACGGCATTATTTGGGTGAAGTATCTGTGGAACAGAACGTGGTGAAGATCTTGTCTTGGAAATTACGCCACTGGCCATCTTGATTTAGAATAATGATGTAAACAGTGCCAGACAAAGGAACTGATTCTCTGAATGAGTTGTGTACTCACAATCTGTGAACTCCTGGTGTATTTACGTGTTCAGTCTTACATTCAAGGGCCGTAGATAAATGTCTTAACGGACACTCCAAAGCTTCCCACAAGCGAGGTAGTTATTGAATGGTATCGCCATCCAAATGACATAGGAGCATAATGAAATGGATTCCACATTCAACAATTCCCGTGTCCTTTCTGGGATTGTGCTGTGCCCTTCTAGAACACAGTTTCTTCTCAATTGTGAGTGAGTGAGTTGGGGTTTACACCGCTTTTAGCAATATCCCAGCAATATCCCAGCAATATCAAGGCGGGGGAACACCAGAAATGGGCTTCACACATTGTACCAATGTGGGGCATCGAACCCGGCTCTTCGGCGTGACGAGCGAACGCTTTAACCACTAGTCTACCCCACCGCCCCTCTTCTCAATAGACGATAAGCTGCGAGTTAAGTGTCAAGTGACACTTTAACGATATTTGTTACAATATCAACCCTCACTCTCCGAGGGAATCATGCTCCAGCAAACTCTAAATATTCCATCCCAATCCTCTTTAAGAAAATCCCAGAAATGACGGAGTGACATATTTCACCATTCAGATGGCTTCTCCTTTTGAGGGGACTCCTGTTCCGTTAAACTAACGGTTGTGATTCAGGTGATTGAATCAATGTTAATATTGTTTTTAATTCGTGTCTACGGGCCCCTGTTATGTTAGTTGAGCAGTGAAGCCACCCCTGGCTGATGGGTTGATAGACGAAAAGGCCATGTGCATAATTTAAATGCCCAAAATGCATTCATGAGGGACAGATAACTTATCTCAATGTTTCACCAATTCTGGCAACCATTTGATATTTACTTATCGCTCTTATCTGAAATACGTTCATAACGTCGTGTCTTGTGTTTGCAGCTGATGGTTTTGATGTTCTAGCTATGTCTGTTTATAGAAGGGAGATATAGATTTACCGCCCTTATATCACCCTCCTCCCCACCCACTATCCTCACCCCTACCCCTCTCGCTCGCTCTCCCCTCCACCCATTTTCCTCAACAGACCATCGTCTAGCTGATCCGCGTTTATTGGTCGAGATGCATGCATGTATGTACGCCTGATGCTGCAAATATGATACATCTGTGTAATACAATCGTTATGTACAGGTCAATATGTAAAGGGCGGTGATAAATACTGATGGAACTGTAAGGACCTGACGGAAAAGAAAGGTTTGTAGAGCAATGTAATGCTTCGGGTGATTATGATGATGGCTCAAAATGTAGGTGACCTGTACATATAATGTGTGGAGATGATGATGATGATGATGATGATGATGATGATGAATGTATCGATAGTTGTAGTGGTGATTTAATCCTGACGGTATAGAGGATTCTGACGGTGATGGTGGTGGTAGGGATAGAAATATTAATGGTAATGATGATGATGATGATGATGATGATGATGATGATGATGGAGATGATGGTGGTGGTGGTGGTGGTGGTGATCTGTGGTGCTGATGGTGAATGTATCGGTAGTTGGTCTGGTGATTTAATCCTGACGGCGGAGAGGATGCTGACGGTGATGGTGGTAGGGTAGAGATAGAAATATTAATGATGATGATGATGATGATGATGATCTTCAGTACAACCTCGGAGGATTGATGGTCGTACGTGTGACATTATCATGCTGTAAGTAACAGTGACAGTGATTATCTGTCTGACATGTTAGACCGTGTCACTTGACTAGGCAACTCAACAACGACTATTCTCATCTCAACACTACTTAATCACCTGCTCGTTGCCTTTCAAGTTGCCAGTCTTGTAAAGCCGATGTCGACATCAACGAGCCGATATGATTAAGCAACGACGATTCGTAGGCTGCAATTCCGTATAATATGCTTTGTCGTT